CAAAGGGATCAGACCCTGAGATGGCTCATTCCTTCTCAGTCATACAGGAGAAAACTCAGGAGATGTTTGCCAATGTACAATTGAAGGCAGCTTGTTGTGATCCAATGCAGATGATTATTAGAACAGTAAGACCTTTAAACTTGGGGTTCTTCACTTACTAGTCGCATGATGCTGAACAAGTTAATCACTGTAAATGAAAATTCTTATAAATACAACTAATTTAGTGTCTATAACCTAAGCTGTTGAAGAGAATAAAATGAAATCAAATATACAAGAGATCTGGGTAAGGTACAAAGTATTACACAGATGCAAATCAGTCCTGTTAGGCATACTGCTAAGGTCGGTGACAGATGTTAAGAGTGCCTGGCTCAACTCAACTCCCACCACTCCCTCTCTATGGAGTGGCAGGGTCTAAAGATCCATGGTTTCTCATTTTATCCATTTAATGCTGTAAGCATAGGGTCTAGGATTTATATCTTTTCAAGGGTCTGTTAAAATATTTGCAACGTGTGAGACATGGTGAAAATGTAAACACAAAACATATAAAGAAAACTGCAAAATAAAAAAAGAAATGAATGTTTAAGTTAATGTCTATGAAATATTTCTTTTCAATGAGTCAACTGCAACACAACTCTTACTGTGTTGTATATCAATTATTTTTAATGTGTGATATGTGTGTATCTTAATATGCTTGATATAATAAAAAGTAGGACTTCTGAAAGGAAGTTTTTAGAGCCTATGAGATATTTGGGCAGCTTTGTCTAGGTCTATGGAGAATGTGAAGGAAGAACAAAGGCCTTTTCTTTTTCTGTAGTTAAATTCATTTTCGTCTGTTGGGATCTAGTATCATATTTATTTTTAACTGGATGGTTTAAAAAAATTCTCTTTTCACTTCTTTCCTTCCTTTGGTGTTTTGCAACTTATCCACTTCAGCTAAAGAAGATGAACTAGCTCCTTCTATTCAGCTCCTACGTTAGATATGCCCACTGTCTATATGTTTTGGGGAATGTTTATTACATCAGGAAGGTCACCCCAATTCCCTTCCCCCCATCTGCCTCTCAGCTTCGTGTCCTATTCTTGTGGTCTGTGATCTGGGACTCTGGTTATTTGAAGGTATTTATAGAATTGTAAGAAGGCTGTTTAGCCAGGTGGGCCTGAGCTGGAGCTAAGAGGCTTTGTGAAAGCAGATGAACACCACATGGGGCTCCCCTCTTGCCTCTGCCACTCTGCTGCCTGACCCTGAGTAAGCCCTTTCCTGTCTGCTCTTCCACTTGCTTCTCTGTGTAATTAGATGCATAGCATTCAGGAGAGTGGATGAGCACTAAGACCCAGCCTTCTTGTTCTGTGCTTCTGATGACACTTCCCAGTGACCCTGGCATACAAGTATGTGCCACAGCCACTCAGTGGGGAGGCATATCCATAGCCCACTCAGTGGAATAGGTCAGGCTCGGCAGACCTTGTTCTGCTGCTTTCTTCCAAGTTGACAAAGTTGATAAAACTTTTCCAAATTGGGAAAGCAGCCTACAGGATTTGCCTAATGAAGTGTTGCATACACCAGATGATTAAAAACAAAAGCATAACAAAGCTCTTTCATCTCAGGAACTGAAAGCCACTTGACATTCATTTTTCCCCCATTAATCACCCTGCTTTCCCACAGGACTCTTTGTGATGGTGGGTGATGGGGAGATGAAGGTGTTGAGGTCACATTTCAGTGGCTGCAAGGCTGCTGACAACTATTCCCTGCACTCTGCCTTACTAGCTGAACCTTGATTTGGCTCCAGTATCAGTGGCCACACTCTTCAGGGAGAGACACCTCTAGGAGGTGGAAGAATCTGCATTAGATAAGCCAATTACAGAAATTCTATTTCTCCTGCCTATAATTTTGTGCTATGATTCTGTCCAATGAGGTACATACCAGGGGAGATCTGCTAGGGTGGCAGAACCTATTGGGGAATTTCTTGTTTTCTAAAGAGGACTCGGAGTAGGAGTGCTGCCTCTCTTCCTGCCCCCCTTATCATTGTGCGCGTATGTGATGCTTGAATGTCAGGATACTACACGAACAAACATCAACAAGCTGAGAATGGCAGAGAGAGAAAATGGAAAAAAATCTGGGTCACTGATGACATTTTTTAGCTTCTCATTTAAGCAAGCTTTGGAGCTTCTTTACTATGGAAGCTGTCATTGTGAGAGATAATAATTTGTCCTTGTTGCTCAGGGCCACTTCTAGTTGGTTTTGCTGCTGTAAGAGTATGCTAACAGCTGAGTCAAGCTGCCTCTTTTGCTCCCACCTGCCTATCCCTGCTTAGAGAGTATCTGGGAGAGGTTATCCCAAAGATAAGGGCACCATGAGAGTGTATGTCTCCTATCAGAACTTTCCAAACCAATCTATAATGTAGGGCAGAGGAGAGGGAAAGTAAATCCCCTGTAGAATTGGTTGGGGTGCGGAGGCAAAGCCTAAAGCTGCCAGCCAGAAAGCTGAAATTTATTTGACTTCCTATGTTCTTAACTTTGAAATTCATGTGAAATTTTCATTCTAGTTTTTAAAATGTCTTGTTCTCAATGTAAAACTCCTCTTTTACCTACTTAACTGTTCAATTATTTAGCTCTTCCCACCATGCAAATGTTCAATTTAAAGTGAGGCTACGCCAACCCTGGCAAGGCTTGTGTCCCACGTGATACCAAACAGCCAAACACCTGCTCCTAGAAGCAATCTGTCGACAGAGCTTGCAAAGGTCCGTGAGATCACTGTTGCAAACAGGGGAGAGGTCAAAGCAAAAGGAAGCAACTTGGGTGGATGTGGCAGCTTTCCTCTCCTACAAATCCTCTGGCTGGAAAGTGCAGGCAGGGAGTGATGACAGAAGCCAAGCACAGGCTACATTCCTGCCACAGGTGAGGTCTATGTAGGTGAATTCCGAGGCTGCACAGGTGACCCTTGAAGGATGACTGAAAGGCCAGGTGACTTGCTGCAGGCCGTCGTTCAGTGCCAGAGACGGCATCTCACTTCCATCATGCTTCACAAACTCTGGCAGACTGCGCTTAGATGTGAAAGGAAAATTACTGACATTATTTTGAATGTTTCTCCTGTGCTCCACTTACCTGGGCTATATTTTGGTGAAATCTAAATTCTCCTTTTGTTAAAGCTCCCTGGACTGTAAGCTCAGGGAGGCCAGGGACTTTGCCATCCTGTTCCTTGTGGAATCCCTGGTACCTAGAACTATGTCTGGCACATAGTATGTGCTTCATAAACATTTTTTGAATGATGGTCTTTGAATATATTGAGTTAGGAATACTTTGAAGGCTATCCTATCGTAGGAGAGAAGAAAGTCTCTATAGTTTCTGAGGGCAACTACAGTGTAAAATAAGTTCAGACAACAGGGATAGAGAGTAACAAATGAAGACAGGGCCCTGGACACCCAGGAGTGGATCTCAGAAGGCATCCAAGGAATGAGATACTGGAGGAGGCAGGGGTGGGGACCTAAGTGTGGCCAACTGCAATAGGCACTGCTCTAGGTCTCAGGAGCCCCAAGTGAGACCACAGCTCATCTCTACCTGTGCCAGCACCTCCGTGGGCCTGGGTCCAGGATGTGGGACACATGACGTTCTTGTGGGCCCTGGAGAGAACTGTGCTCCATCCCCTTAGTGCCTCCCCCAAGGCCTTACTAGGAGGATGGAATCTGATGACGAGATTTTTTTCAGTCCCTGTTCAATGCTCTCTTCCTGTTTAATCACCCAGCAAAGTTTCAGGACACCTGGGGTGGTTTCCACATCCTGAAGGAGAGGCTGTGGGGAATCCCCTGAATTATTCCTGGTGGGAGGAGAAGTAGGAGGTGGTGCTAAACTGCACAAGTTTGAGATAGCTAAGCTGGCACAGTGGTGGCGGAAGAGACCCTTGTTAGACTGTTCAAGGCCTTGTCTGCTAAGCACGTGGGAGAGCCCAGCAAGTGGCTGAGTGGGGCCAGGCCTCCCTCCTATCTGGCTGTCTGGCAGGGTTCCTATACTTCTTCTTGAGCTCCCTCCTCATCAACAACAACCTGGCATTTCTCTTTCCAGACTCAAGAACCTTTTGAATTCCTGGGTTCTATTCCACCTGCTCCCTCAAATACGCTGCCTCTCAAATTGGAGTTTCCAAGGCAGGGAAAATTTAAGCCAAAGGTTTCCTAGCTGCTTATCTGAGCTAAGATGATCTTAGCAGTGTGCATAGTGATTTGGGCACACAGGCTCTGGGGTCAGCTCGCCTGCATTCCACTCCTTGTTATGTCTTTACTAAACTGCCTAATCTTGGACAATGCACATAATATTGGTAGACTCTAGAGTTCTCCTCCGTAAAAGGGGGTTAATGATAAAACCCCTGGGATTGTTCTGAGGATTAAAATACATAATGTATGTAAGGCATTTAACACTGGGCTTGCCACAGAGCAAGTGATCAATAAATGTCAAAGATCATTATTTTTGCTTCCCCTTTTTATGCTTCCTTTTATCTTTTTGTCTAAATTGCTAAGTACTTTCACATTGTTTCATGGTGAGTGTGTTTGTGAAGAGTGAAGATAGGAATGATAGGGCACAGAGGCATTTTTTTGTCTTATTTTTCAAATCATCTGATACATACAAAAAATTGCTACTTGTTGAGGACTGGGTGTGTATACTATGGTGTTTTCAAAGGACGTCCACAATTTTTCAACACTCTTTCAAAAGAAGGAGGGGTCTAATTCCTCTCACCTAGAATATAGTTTGTTGGTAGTGACTTGCTTCTAACAAATAAAAGGCAATGGAAGTGATGCTACTGTGTGACTTTCCAGCCAGGCCAGAAAAGATGATACGGTTTCACCAGTTTCTCTCTCAAGTGAGACACGTGCCTTTGGAGCCCTGAGCTACCTCATAAGAAATCCAGAGGCCCTGAAGGGTCCATTTGGAGGGACCCTGTGGAGGTGCCCAAAGGGATAGAGGGAGGTGCCTGGGGGGCCACAGCTACTCCAGCCCCTGCTCGCTGTTTGTCTTCCCAGCCCAGGAGCAAGAGGTGTGAATGAAGAACCCTTGAAATTGACCCCAGCTGTAGCCACTCACCAGACTTGCCTCAATCTCATGGGAGACCGCGAGTCAGACTAGCTCAGCTCAGCTGCTCTCAAATACCTGGCCCACAAAACCTGCAAGAGCTAATAAACAACATTGCTTTGGTAAGGCTAAAAGTTTTGGGTTGATTTGTTATGCATTGCTAGATAACAAATACAGGCATGATATTAACTAGTAACTCTGTGTGACATGTATTATTATCTGTTTCCCAAATGAAGAAACTAAGGTCCAGAGTTTGTACTGGATCCTCTGCACCAGGAGGCTGCCTCACTGGATGCTGGAGGAGGTTAAAAAAAATCGGTAAAATTGCATTTTTCTGTATTTGCCCTACTAGCCTCTCACGATTCTAAGATTAAACACATGATCATATTGTGTTTGGAAGCTCACCACCTGTTCAAAACACTCGGGGCTCATAGTTAACTGGCAGACCCAGCCCCTGAAGTGAATTTACTGAAAGGCTGTATCCTCCGTCTCCTTAGAACAGTGTTGGGTTTCAGAGTCAGCGTCAGGGTAGAGCTGCTAGTTAAACGGGGTAGTCAGCAGGCCCAGAGGGCCCAGGTTGCCCTGGGGAAGCCTGGAGAAGGCTGTGAAGTTCCAGGCTTCAGGCAGGCAAGGAAGGGGCCGTATGGTGTGTGGTGAAAATGGCAGAAGAAAACAGAACCAACAAGGCTGAGGAGTGGGAGCACAGCTGAGACAGAGGTGAGAAAAGCATGGTGTAATGCAAGCTCCGAAGAGCAGTGGGGGAGATCTTCACAGGCAGGATGGCCAGATGCGCCCCAGAGACAGACAAGGGCTCTGCTGCGGCTGCCAAAGGGAAGCAGTTGGTTTGATATTAGACCCAAGGGGATTTACATGCCAATGTCCACTTTAGAATTTCTATCCTAATCTCTGAACTCATTTACTTCTAAAATGTAGATGTAAATATTTCTGAGAAGACAGGGTCCATTCATTCAGCTCAACGTCTACCAAGCACCTATTACGTGCTGGTGACCAGTGACAATGGGACATATATAGAATATAAATAAAACATGTTCCTCCCAAGAGGAACAGGGTCTGGAGGGAAATGATAATTTTTGGAGACCTGTTGTGTGCCAGGTCCTCTTTGGGGTGATTTAAATTATCTCATTTAATCTTGACATCAATTCTACAAAATAGGCATGACTTTTATAAGAAGCTGAGCTTAGAGAAATTAAACAACATGCTTAAAGTTATATACAGCAAGTGTGTGTGTTTTAACCCAGGTTAATCTAATTCTAAAGTCCGTAATTGCTCCATTGTTGACCCTGCCTCTCAGGCTTATGGGCTCTTGTTTCTGGGTGCAGATTTCATGGAACTGTGTACAGAGGGCTTTGAGTCTGCAGAGGAGGATGTGGTTAGTTCTGCCTTTGAGGAGGTGCAGGGTGGGGACATGGTTTCATAGAAGCTAGATCAGGGCAGTGTAGGGAGTCGAGGAGTTCAGTAGTTGGAGAAGGACATTGTAGACATAGGGAGTTGCAAGTCAGATGGAACAGTGTCAGGGATGGAATGCAGGAAGACAGGGCTGGAAAGACAGGCCAGGGCTAGACTGTAAGTAACCATTTCTTTTTAAAGAAATATGGGCAAAGGAAAGCACTGAGGTTTTTAAGCTGGAAAGTGATTTGATCAGATGTGTCTATTAGAAAGGTCATCCTGGCCAGGTACGGAGGCTCATGCCTGTAATCCCAGAACTTTAGGAGGCAGAGGCAGGTAGATCACAAGATCAGGAGATCGAGACCATCCTGGCCAACATGGTGAAAACCTGTCTCTACTAAATTACAAAAAATTAGCCAGGTGTGGTGGCATGCACCTGTAGTCCCAGCTACTAGGGAGACGGAGGCAGGGGAATCACTTGAACTTGGGAGGTGGAGGTTGCAGTGAGCCGAGATCACACCACTGCACTCCAGCCTGGTGACAGAGCGAGACTCTGTCTCAAAAAAAAACAAAGGAAAGGTCATCCTGATAGCTCTGGGCAGTATCGTTAGAAGCATGGAAAGCCAGGCCCATTTTCACTTGGGCATTGCACTGACCCATGAATCTCAAAAATCTCACAATGAAATGCATGATCTGTCTTCTTCCTGCTTGCAAACTCTCATCTCCTCCTGGGTACCCAAATTGGTAAGCACCTCACCATCCACCCAACCCACAAGGCTAGGGACCTTGGCTGGTAAAGAGGTGGATGTGTAGGGCTGATGACAGAACTAAAGCTTCAGGGCCTCTCACTCACACGAGCACTCTCCAGGCTCTGCACTGAATTTTGTGTTTGCAGCTTTGTAGTCAAGAGTTGTGCTAATCTCTTAGTTGTGCCATTTACTCTCTTCAACTCTTTCTCATTTGACTTTCAGCCATTCTCTGCCACCTGGATCCCTGTAGTAGGTTTTGCTCAGGTTAGTCTGCTTCTATACTTGCCACTGGAAATTTTATTCTCAGAGTAATTATTCTAAAACGGCAGATCATTTTATTCCTCTGCTCAAAATCCTATCATGGTGTTCAATGAGAGTAAAAGTCAAAAGTCCTTAACATGTACACTAGGGCCGTGCATCATCTGACTGCTGTTTCCTCTTTGAGTTTTTGCCCATCAAGTCTTCCTTATACTTGTGTTACTCTAGCCATGCTAGGCTGGAGCAACTCAACACTCAGGCCTGCTCCCATTGTAGGGCATGGGCGCTAACCTTTCCCTCTTTCAGGAGGCCCCTCCTGCAGATACTCACTCACCTCCTACAAGTTTGTGCTCAAGTCTTGCCTTCTTAATGAGGCCCATCCTGACTGCTATTTTTTTTTTTTTTTTTTTCCAACATTTATTTTAGGTTCAGGGAGTACATGTGCACGTTTGTTACATGGGTAAATTGCATCTTGCAGGGGTTTTGTGTACAGATAATTTTGTCAACCAGGCAATGATAGGTAGTTTTTCAACCCTTACCCTCCACCCACAAATAGGCCCCAGGATCTGTAATTTCATTGTTTGTGTCCTTATGTACTCAATGGTTAGCTCCCATTTATAAATGAGAACATGTGGTATTTGGTTTTCTTTTCTTGTATTAATTTGCTTTGGGTAACAGCCTCTAGCTGCATCCATGTTGCTGCCAAGGACATGATTTTATTCTTTTTTTATAGCTGCATAGGATTCCCTGGTGTATATGTACCACATTTTTTTTTTTAATCTAGTCCATCATTGATGGGCATCTAGGTTGATCCCATGTCTTTGCTGTTGTGAATAGAGCTGCAATGAACATACATGTGCCTGTCCAATCACTGTTTTTAATACTACAACCTGCCCCTTCCCCTCTTCCCTGCAGCCCTGGTTTACAATATTTTCAGAGATAGAAATCATACACTTTAATGTAACCTATGTATTAGCAAATGTCCTATATCTACATATATTGGCTTCCCAATTATTGATAATAATTTCGACAGATAATTTTAAAGCTCAGAAATCCTTTTTATATCTATTCTCTCATAGGAATCGTCTTCCTGTTAGACATAAGAAAACTAAGCTCAGAGTTAAGTGAATTGTCTATTAGTAACTACCAAATTTTGGCACCTACTCTGTGCCAGGCACTATAAATATATCACGGCTAATGCTTACAATAGACCCATGAAATTAATATTGTTTTCCGTGTCTTGCAGTTGAGAAAGCTCTGCAACTGTCTGACACTTATGTGATGGTCTAAGGTCCCATTGCCCTTCACATCAAGGCCTCCTTGATTCCAGAGCCCATTCTCTTTCCAGTGTTGTTGTTCCTGTTCATTTCATTTCTCCATGCTGCTTCCCAGATGTGGGCTCAACAAGGGGAGATACCTTGAGTTAGATTTCTTCTTATACGTTTTAGAGCTAATTTTAAAATTTTTCCATTTTAATTTTTTATTGATGCCTCATAGATGAACATGGTTTCAGGGTACATGTGATAATTTAATACATTCATGTAATTTGTAAAGATCAAATCAGTGGTACTTGGAATATCTATCACCTTAAATGTTTGCCTTTTCTTTATGCTAGAATCATACAAATTCTTCTCTTCCTTGCTATTTTGAAATATACAATAGATTATTGTAAACTATAGTCACTCCGCTGGCTGATCTGTTTAACACTAGGTCTTATTTCTTCTCTCAAACTGTATATATTTATACCTATTAATTAACTTCTTTTTATCTTTCCTCTCCCACTCCAACCTTTCCTGCCTGTGACAATCACCAATCTACTCTCTATCTTCGTGAGAGCCAGGTTGTAGCTGACACATGTGACTGAGAACATGTGATTTTTCATCTTTCTGTGCTTGGCTTATTTCACTTAACATAATAACCTCCATATCCTTCCATGTTGCTGCAACAACATGACAGGATTTTTTTTTTATGACTGAATAATATTCCGTTGTTTGCATATGCCATATTTGCTTTATCCATTCATCCACTGATAGGCACTTACACTGATTCCATATTTTGGCTATTGCGAATAGTGTTGCAATAAACATGAGAGTGCAGGGGTCATTTTGATATATTGATTTCCTTTCTTCTGGATGTATACTGAGTAGTGAAATTGCTGGATCACATGGTAATTCTAGTTTCAGTTTTTTGAGGAACCTCCGTACTTCTTCATAGTGGCTGTACTAATTTACATTTCCACCAACAGTGTAGGAAGGTTCCCCTTTCTCTGCATCCTCACCAGCTTCTGTTGTTGCCTATCTTGATAAAAACCATTTTTGCTGGGGTGAGATGACATCTTATTGTAGTTTTGATTTGCATTTCTGTGATATTAATAATGTTGAGCATTTTATCATATACCTCTTGGCCATTTGTATGTCTTCTTTTGAGAAATGTCTATTCAGACTTTTTGCCCATTTTTAAATTTGACTTTTTTTTTTTTTTGCTATTGAGTTGTTTGAGCTCGTTATATATTCTGATTATTAAACTCTTGTCATATGGGTAGTTTGTAAATGTTTTCACCCATTCTGTGAGTTGTCTCTTCACTTTGCTGATTGTTTCCTTTGCTGTGCAGAAGCATTTTAGCTTGATGTAATCCATATGTCTATTTTTGCTTGGTTGCTTGTACTTTTGAGGTCTTCCACAAAAAGCCTTTGCCTAGACCAACATCC